CTCTCTCTCTCTCTCTCTCTCTCTCTCTCTCTCTCTCTCTCTCTCTCTCTCTCTCTCTCTCTCTCTCTCTCTCTCTCCCCCCTTTTGTAAGCGTTCTTTAGGTTTGCCTCTCTTCTTTTTCGTTCAAACTAGACAACGGACGCGAGCGGTCATGCCTGCATGCATAGGTTTGCAACTTTGCAGCCCTCTCTTTAACGTACCGAGAGCTCAGGGACTTGGAATCGTTAAAAGGCGGCATAGAGAAGAAAGAATGATAAAGACGCAAACAGAGCAGCAGCAGCACATGCTGCTCTTCCTCTTTACGTCTCTTTATGCCATGCACACAGGCAGGCAATATAACATAGTGCCTTCCCTTGCCTTACCTGCTGTCAAGCGTGCATCTTCCTCAGCAGTGCGCATCACTCCACTCTGACGGTGCGAAGAACTCGCAGACTGAGTAGTCGAAGTCGTGAAGCGCGAAGAGCAGCAAAGGCATGCTGTCCGCGGTCCAAACACCATGGCGAAGGAGATGCGCTCAGGATAGACGAATAGAGGAGAGGAGAGAGGATGTTACACAAATTGAAAGGCCAAGGACGACTCCCTATACTCGGCATGCTGCGACCGCCTTGCCATGGACAAGACCCTCAAGATACTCGAGCATCAAGAATCAAGATAGTCAATATACTTGACAATACCGAGAAGGGAGAACAACTCAGACTCTCATGGCTGATGATACTTGAGACACTCAAGACACTCAGGGCACAATCAATGATTACCGTCTCTCTCTCTCTCTCTCTCTCTCTCTCTCTCTCTCTCTCTCTCTCTCTCTCTCTCAGGGGCAACCGCCTCTCCCCCTTCCCACCTTCCTTGCCCGCCCCTCTTTTAACTTTCTCCGGTATCCAAAATCCAGCTGTCTGCCTGCCTGCTTGCCTGCCTGCTTGCCTGCCTGCCTGCCTGCCTCCAGAATCCTGCTGAAACGATTTTGAAATGTGTTTGGACGAGCGCCTCGCCGAAACCCCGCTTACTTTTGTCCCCTTGAGCACCACAAACACCCCTGGAGTTATACAATACCTTCCATACCCTTTCCCTTTTCCCAAATGCTTCCCCTCTTTGTCCCTCTGTCCTTCGCTGGCATCCCCTGTCGTCTCCCACTCTGACGCCCGCCGTCCTTTCTCCTTCTCCCTTGCCCCGTCCGCCAGCCGCTTGCTTCCCCTCTCTCTCCCTCTGTCCTTTGCTGGCTTCCTATGTCTTCTCCCACTCTGATGCCCACCGCCCTGTCTGCCAGCCGCTTGCACCCTGCCCTTCTTTTACTTCCACATATATCCAAAATACTACTGCAATTCAAAATACTAAAAATAGTTAATTTCTAATTTTCTATACAACGTCTGTTGCTACCCCTGCTTACCCTGTTCTCCCTTTTTGCTACCAGCGGGAAACTTTCACATTATGTGGAGTTTTCCTACGGCCAACTGAGGACACGAGGTCTACGGCATAAGTATCATCAGTTCAAGGGGGCAATGCCTAATAGCCTATGCCGTTTCTCCTTCCACCACCCCGTGGGGGCAGGGGAGGGGGAGGAAGGGGGGGCGGGGTTGGGGGGGCGGCGTAGAGGAGAATGGAGGGGCACTCCATGAACACCGCGCTTGCTAAGTCAGAGAGGGAGGCAGGATTACTCCCTTCTTCGATAGCCTAAGCGTGGGTAATTTTTACGCCAGCCTTGCCTTGTGGTATCTGACCTCGGCATTAACCAATGCCTGACTCGAAGGTCGATCAGGCAAGTCGTTTTCTCGGCCAAAACTGCGAGGGGCACCACAACCACAGTCAACAGGAACGATTCCTGCAAACTTTCTTTCATTGCTGCTTGCACTGGAGTCCCGCAACGATGGGGCCCGTGCTCTATCTGCACATCGCCCAACCGACCAACGATTCTCTCCAAAGCATGGGGAGCTGTAGTCCCCGCTCTGAGCTGCAGCTGCTCCCGTCGTACAGTCCATGCGCTGTAATCCTATGCCGTCATTCGCAGCCTCTCTTATGTCCTTGGTGGCCATACTTTCAGAAAGGTCCATGCTACCAGAGAAGTCCCGTAGTTCACCCCGTAGCTCACCTACCTCTGAGCCACTTGCAGGAGAGCAGTTGACATGACCATGCTCATCCCCCTGAGCCATCATCCGTTGGCTCCGTGTCCCTGACGAGAATTGCTGGCAGGCGGATTCCTTCGGCGAGGCACACGGACGGTCATCGTCCCCCCTTGAATGCGTTCGGTAGAACGTGGTGATGCCTGACGCCATTAGCTGGGGACTGCTTCCTAATCCATAGCTGCCTGCAGCATGCACATGTTGTGGCTGCTGCAGGTTGGCCCCGGCCGACGAGCGCGACTGTGGACGCTGATCGTGCAATGGTTCATTTCGCAGCTGGGCTTGCTGCTGTGGCTGGCTCTGCTGATTATGCTGCTGCTTCCTTTGCTGTGCTGAAGAGACTGGTGGGACGGAGTGACGGTTAAACTGCCCTCTTCCCTCTCCTCCCCTCTCAGATGTCGAAAGCGCACTTCCTGTGCCGAAGTTCGGCTGCAGAAGCTGCTGTTGCTGTTGCTGCTGTTGCTGCTGCTGCTGCTGCTGCTGCTGTTGGTGTTGCAGACACGACTGATGCTGACGGCATGGAAAACTGCACTGCGCGCTCGATGGTTGAGACGGGTTCATTACTGCCATGGTAGGAGCCGGCTTTCGCTTCACCCCCCCTTTCGGTTGATGGAGAGGAGGGTGCTGAATATGAGAGGTGCGACATGTTTGACAACTGGAAATCGGTGCGGAGACATGTTGAGTGTGGTGGTGATGCAGCGAACATCCTGGAGCACACGTCACACAGACTCTTCCCATTCCTGCGCCCGATCCTTCAGTAGCATGGTTTTCCAGTCCCCTGGTAATCGTTTGACACTCCGGCACCAGCCCCATGGGCCCAGTCATCTCAACTCTTCCCACCCCCATGGTAGTCGCTGCAGCATCCATGGCACAAATCCTATGCTCTGCTGCGCCAAGGAAACTGCCTGAACCTGCATAAGCCAACAACGATGGGTCCTCATCTAGCTCCTCGACCCCTACTGGTACCTGCATGTTGCTTCCATCCTGCTGATGGTGGGATGCCCCTCCGTTATACAAAGGCGGAATGCTGTTGTCCAGGGTCGGCATCATCGAAGAGGTGAGTTGCTGCTGGTAATACACTGTTCGCCTGGAAAGGCCGCTTCCCAACCCCTGGCCCGAAGGCACTGATGATGGCATTCCCTGCACATTGTCATGCTTTAACCGTTTTAACTGTGACACACATACATGATCACAACGTCCAGGTGCAGACGAAATGACAGCTCTAGCAGATGGCAGGCATACCACCTCACACTCACGATGGTTCTCGGTTACCTGCTGCTGCTGTTGCTGCTGCTGCTGTTGCTGCTGCTGTTGCTGCTGCTGCTGCTGCTCCTGCTGCTGCTGCTGCTGCTGCTGCTGCTGCTGTGTTACTCCCATTGCTTGGTTCTTGCCCGACAGTGCCTGCAGTGGCACTTGATAGCCGCAATTGTGGTGGTGGTACTTAGCTTTTGTACGAGGCCCACCGCCCTGGCTGTTCTCGTATTGCTGCTGACTCTGTCCCCTCAGCGACTGCTGCTCTGTCGGATAGTACACGGATGGAGGGCTTTCGTGTTGTTGACAGTGACACTGCTTCGGCAGGCGTTGCTCTTGTGTGAACAAGTCATCCTCTAGCATAGGAATTGCTTGATTCTGCTGCGAATAGGACGGCTCAGCACTGTTTATGAAGGACGTATAGTCGTTCTGACTGGCTTGGACGAACTGACCGCCAGCTTGTTCGTCCACTGGGGATAACTGTGATGACAGCTGGGAATGGCTGCAGCACACGGGCAACGACATGGCTGCGTTCACGGAATCTCCCTCCTCGACAATGTTCATTGGCATCATCGACCCGCCCATTGCCGAAAGGGAACCACCCTGCCCACCACTGGATGACCCATCTGCTGACCCAGATGGTCTCAGCACATCTGAGCTGCCCTTAGGAAGAGGAGCATCGCCATTGGATGAACGTGCAAGCTCTCGCTGAGTCCGTTCAGTCTGTGCACACAGTATCCTGTACTGCTTGAGGATCATGTGTAGATGTTTGCCTGTTGCTTGCACCTTCATTTGCAATTGACGCTGCAGCTGTAAAGTTCAATCAGGAAAAAGAAAAAAACGTTGTTACTTCAAGACCACTTCCATTTGCCCCCCACTCACGCCAGACCCCAACAAACAAAAAAAAAGGCGAAAACTCCCTGCAAATTCGCAGTCCACGACTTCCCGATGATCAGCGGAATGATTCACTGAAGCCTTCAAAAGCGCGACGACCAATCACTCTAAACCACCACTCTCTCTCTCTCTCTCTCTAGCACACGTGCGCGCCTCTATTATCTTGGAGATGCTCATCCAGTTTCATGAAAACCATCTGGGGGGAGGGGGCAGGAGGGAACCGAGGGAGTAGGGTACAGGTAATGGGGAGCAATCCGAGCAAATGATTACTGCCACATCAAACTTGCACGAAGGCAGCTAAAATGGGCTGTGTTCTAAAGAGTGCATGAACAAATGGTGGGTGTATTGTGTCGGATTAATGGCCACGGGCACGGCGTAGGTACGCCTAATTCTTCCGTGTGCTCGGCGGAAGCCATGGTATCCTATCCACACAGTTCGCGACAACTTTCCAGACCGGAAACACACGCACACAAAAAAAAAAACGGAGACAATGTTTCGGATATACCGAAGCCCAGTCAGTTTCTCCTTTTGTCTTTTTTTCATTCTTACTTTGGCCCAGTCAGTTTCAAATATCCCCGGCAAGTTGAAGACAACATCGCTCCCGGCACGGCCGGCACCGAGTTCTGCGTGCTAGCGAACATGGAGGCAGGGCGTTCACAAATGAATTCTCAAAGTTTTATTCAAACACATTTAACACAACAAATTCAGCCCTGCTCTACAGAGAAGACCCGCCAAAAAATGGTTGCAGGTGAAGATGAGTGCAGAGGAGACTGTCAGGAGGAGGATGGACAGGAGGAGCATGATGGACAGAGACTCGCATTAGACCACACGTTCGTTATCCTTGAACAAAAGGAGATGCTGAGTATATCAGCTTTAATTCTTTTTTGCTACGTCATTTAGCATCATCTGCAGTTTAATATGAAGTAACAAACGAGAATCAAAGCTAATAAACTAGGCAATGTGGAAAAAAAGACGAGACTACAGTCCTCACCCGAATAGAACACCCAGTAATTATTGCCGTATCAGGACTGAAAGTTGAACCGAGTACATCTATAATGACGGCAGTTTTTCGAGAGTGAGTAGATCTCAATGCAAGAGTGAAACAAGAATGAAGACCACATATAAGAGCAGTGTTGCATACCCTGACGGTCGGCACCTACTGGTCGGGGGTCGGCGGCACCCCGCCCAAAAAAAAGAAAAAAAAAAGAAAAAAAGGAAAACAAAGTTTCACCCCCAATGCCCATGCCCAATACCCCCATACACCCACCCAATACCCCCATAC